GCCTAACACTCCATGCCATGCCGGGGAAAGATAATTTAATTAACTTTTGGGTATTTATTTTTACACCGCTACTTTCGTCTTGGTTTGATTTGCTTTTTAGGGTGTAGCATTGTAACATCAACATCATCTCGTCTCATCATCTCTGTAACATCATCTCAGTATTTCCCGCCACTCTTTTTTTCTCTTCTCCTCCTTCGCCCTTCACGTAATTCAGGGCAATCGAAATAATGAAGGGTTAAGACGGTCTACAGGGAAACCTCTCGACCGTAGGCACATGAATACGAGTAATCTTTCAATCGAGGTATCTAACGATTAGGCCTACCTGTTAAAATAATGCATGGACATATCAAGATCAAGTTTAGTTGTAAACTTCTCAAAGGCCATATACAGGAAACAGACGGTAATTAAATTCATATCCAACGGGATAATAAAACAAAGCAGTGCCGTATGGAATTATGTACTTCATGAAATCCTGGAATGGAGCCTCAGCCTCCTGTATAAGTAGTCATTGTTCTACGCACAAAGTCATGCGCAGTACGGTCAATGAGTACTGGTGTGCATTTCATTCAGCCCCAAATCTCTTTTTGCACTTTCGGTGGAAGCAGATTTTCAGCCATTGAAGTATGGGCTGACTGTATAAAGTGTTTGCTGATCTTCAGCCAACTCTGGCAAAGCATTCAAACAGTACTTTTCTGTGAAGGCAAGGAAAAGGGTGAGATATTTCGGCACCTGCGTCATAAATTTCACGCTTCGCGAAAAACGTGGTGCTCAAACAAGCTTAAGACGTCACCCTTATTCAAGGCTTTAAGGCTGATATAAAATTGACAGACAGTGTGTATTTATGGCTGTGGGTGAGTGTGCGAAAGTATCGGATTCAACTTCGGCCCCTTTTAGGGCTCAACTCTTATTTTGCAAAGAAAAGCCTTGGAACTGAAGTTTAAAGATTTTCCTTTTTAATCAACCCTTTCTACGATCATTGGGACCCCCCTTGTGCAAAGCAGAGGCGACTCCCTGTAAAACCACTCCGTTGGGTCGCGACGTGATCAGGCCAGGCTAAGATAAGACGATTGCCATGGACAGATTGTTCCTTCACAGGAATTAAGTAATTTGCGTGCGCTCCTCGCTGGATGATGGGTGTGACAAGTGATCACGCAAATCGACCGCTATTTGTCAATGGCGATCACCACTCTGACTCATGGGTATTTCACCGAAAGAAGGCACGTCCATGTTTTTATATATATCCGTCCATGTTTTTTATATATGTATATATGTATGTATGTAAGATAATTTCGTTCACTCTGTTAAAGAGGTTCCAATGTTTAATATTCCCATGAATATTTTGAAATAACTCCCCAGTAACAGCTTCAACGCCATAGAGACCATCAAGTCAAAAATTGAATAACTATAGGAAACAATAAGTAGAAAACTATTAAACCATACATAATGAAGAATGGAGCTTAGCTAAACAGCTTGAAAAGGAAACAGCGGCGACTTTGAGGCTGTACAAGACTCATTGCTGGGTCCCCCATCAAACAATAACAGGAAGAACCTCTGTAGAAAGATCGTAAACCAGTAACTTAGCTAGGATTTTACTGGTTGGGGGCACCTGGGGAGGGGGCACTGGGAATTTGTGGGGCACGAGCCTCTCAGGCCCCCGTGGATACGCCACCGTGAAGAACAGATTAAAAGCAGCTCATTTTTCAAAGGAATCTTTGGCATAATATCTACAGTTTGCCATTAGTGCCAGAACAGCCTGACAAAAAGTGGCAAGGGGTCCGCTTGCCTGCGTGTCACTTTAATGCAGAAAAGCCAACACACTGAAAGTTAGTAGGCGAAAACTAGAGCTGGAAATGGTTAACTAGAAATGGAGATTTCTTTTCTAACATCTAAAATAATATATACATATAGGCCCTGTCTATCGTAGGGGCTGAGACAAACACCATTTTATGTTTTTGATGAAATTATCACCACTTCCAATTATTTGAGTAGAATAACTCTGTCTTCTATCCTATTAAGTCATCCTAATTTTTATTTTAATTTGAGAAATTAGTTTCTTTCATATTACTTCTCATGCTCATAGGTCAAAGCCCTGAACGTGTATTTCCTATTCTGCTTTGTGTACTTGCTTTCTGAGGAACACGGACGCGGAGCCGGAAAGCCAAGGTGCCAAGAATCTTCAGAAGTAAATCCGTGCCCAATTCAGGATTTAGTAGGCGAGACAAACCCACTGTCGCCGGCTACAGGGGCTACGCATTCCACGGCTGAGGCGTGACAACTTGCCCCCTTCCCCCTGCCAGGTGAGCCGCGTCTTCCCGGATCTATAATTTGTCCAGTTGCAATATGACAGCGACAGCTATCCCGCTTGAATGATTCAGCATCAGTTCATGACGGGCTTCGTTTTCATGATGTGATGGTATATTGGGATAGTGACTGTTTCAGCACTACACTGTTGGGCTTACCTTCACAAACACTAAGTATATATAACACATCAACTAAACGTTAGCTTCATGGGTAAAACCAAAATAACTTCTTTTGACAAGCAAAACTCATGGTTGTCACACTTTGTATGAGTAACTTTCAGGACACAGTAGGATAAAAGGGGATTGGTTGATATGGGGTTCCCAGATTTCGGAAATTTGTTAAATGTACTGTGCTTCCTCCTGAGTTCTACGGCTAATTCAGAATAAATTCAGGAAATCTGAGTAAGTTTTTCCTATGCGTCTCTTCACTGTACAAA